AAATCTAAAAGTTGAGGAACGAAAAATAAAAAAAATCAAATTGTAAATCGAAACAAAAAACTGAAAAATCGAAAATTTGAAGAATTAAAAAATTGAGAAGTAAATAAAAAATGTCAAAGGTTGAAAAATCAAAAAAATTTAAAATGAATTCTTGAAAAATTTCTAAAATCGAAAAGAATAGTCGAACAATTCAAAAGTTGAAATACTGAAAAATCCAAAAAATTGAAGAAAGCAGAAACTGAGAAATCGATAAATTGAAAAATCTAAGAATTGAAGAAACTCACAATAAAAAATCACAAAATGAAAAAATTGAAAAATCAGAAAATTGGAAAATGGAAAACTGAAGAAAAAGTTAAAAAAAGTTGAAATATCGAAAAATTGAAACGTTTTAAATTCAAAAGTAGAAAAATTGTAAGAGACAAATTGAAGAAACGCAATACCGATGAATCGAAAAATAAAAAATCGGGAAACTCAAAAATCGAAAAATTGAGGAAATGAATTAAAAATTCAAAAAATTCAAAAGTTGAAATACTGAAAAAGTTTAACTTGAAAATTAGCAAAATGAAAATTAAAAAAAATTGAATAAAGAACTGAAAGATCGATAAATTGAAAAATCCAAAATTTGAAGAAACTCAAATTTAAAAAAATCAAAAAAAGAAAAAAATTGAAAGACCGAAAAATTGGATAATTTAAACTTCAAACTTCGAAAATTGAAGGAACAAAACCCTGAAGATTTAAAAAATTGAAAAATCTGAAAACTGAAGAACGAAAAATCAAACAAATTTAAATTTAAAACTAGAAAAATTGCAAATCGAAACCAGAAACTTCAAAATCGAAAATTTGGAGAATTTAAAAACTGAAGAAACGAAAAGTAAATAAATAAAAAAATTCAAAGGTTGAAAAATGAAAAAAATCTGAAATTGAATTCTTAAAAAATTGCAAAAAGGTGAAAAAATGAAAAATTAAAAAATCGAGAAATTCAAAAGTTGAAAACCTGAAAAATTTTAAATTGAAATTCAGAAAAATTGCAATTTAAAATTGAAAACTAGAACAAATGTAAATCAAAAAATTGGAGAAAGCAGAATCTGAGAGGTAGAAAACTTAAAAAGCCTAAAATTTATAAAAACAAAAAATTAAAAATCGAAGAAGCAATAACCTAAAACTTTACAAAATTCAAAAATCTAAAAATTGAGAAAGGAAAAATAAAAAAATTTTGAACTGAAAACTAGAAAATTTGTAAATAGAAACAAAAAATGAAAAATCGAAAATTTGAAGAATTTAAAAATTGAAGAAATGAAAAGAAAATAAATCAAAAAATTCAAAGGTTGAAACAAAAAATCTGAAACTGAATACTTGAAAAATTGCAAATCGAAAAGTTGAAGAAACGAAAAATTACAAAAATCGAAGAATCGGAGGATTGAAGAAACAAAAACCTGGAAATTTGAAAAATAAAAATCTAAGAGTTGAGGAACGAAAAATAATAAAAATTTAAACTGAAAACTAGAAAAATTGCACATCGAAACAAAAACTTAAAAATCGACAATTTGAAGAATTTGAAAATTGAAGAAACGAAAATTAAATAAATCAAAAATGTCAAAAGTTGAAAAAAGTGGAAAGTGAGAGGTCGAAAAATTGAAAAATCTAAAATTCGTAAACAAAAAATTAAAAATTCGAAGTCAAAAGTTGAAAAATCTAAGGATTTGGAACTGAAGAAGAAAGTTGAAGAAAACAAACTGAGATCAATAAATTGAAAAATTTGAAATATCGGAAAATTGGAAAATTTAAGTTGAAACTTCAATACTCGAAAAGTTGAAGAAACAAAAATCTGAAAATTTTAAAAATTGAAAAATCTGGAAATTGAACTACGAAATATCAAACAAATTCAAACTGAAAACTAAAAAATTTGCAAGTCGAAACAAAAAAACTCAAAAATCGATTAAATTTGAAGAAACGAAAAGTAAATAAAAAATTCAAAGGTTGAAAAACTGAAAAATTTTAAATCGAAAAGTGGAAAAATTGCAAAACCAAAAAGTTGAAGAAAGCGGAAACTGAGAAATCGACAAATTGAAAAATCCAAAGTAGGAAAATTTAAACCCGAAAACTCGACAAATTGAAGAAACAAAAACCTGAAAGTTTAAAAAATTCAAAAATCAAAAAAATTAAGAAATGAAAAATTAAATTGAAAACTAGAAGACTGCAGATCGAAACAACAAACCCAAAAAATCGAAAACTTGAAGAATTTAAAAATTGAAGAAACGGAAAGTAACTAAATCAAAAAATTCAAAAGTTGAAAAACAAAAAATCTGGAATTAAATTGTAGAAGAATTGTAAATCGATAAGTTGAAGAAACGAAAATTAAAAACAAAAAAAAAACAAAAAATGCAAAAATTAAAAAACTGAAAAATTTTAAATTGAAAATCAGAAGAACTGCAACTTAAAACTGAAAACTAGAAAAAATACAAATCAAAAAATTGAAGAAAGTAGAAAACCGAGAGTTCGCAATTTAAAATTGAAAACTCGAAAAAGTGCAAATCAAATAATTGAAGAAAGCAGAATCTGAGAGGCCGAAAAATAAAAAAATCTAAAATTTGTAAAAACAAAAAAAATGAGGATTTGAAAAACCGAAGAATTGAAGATACAAAAATTCAAAAATTGAAAAATATAAACATTTGAAATCGAAAACTGAAAAAATTGCAAAACCAAAAAGTTGAAGAAAGCGGAAACTGAGAGATCGACAAATTGAAAAATCTAAAGTTGGAAAATTTAAACCCGAAAATTCGAAAAATTGAAGAAACAAAAACCTAAAAGTTTAAAAAATTGAAAATAAAAAAAATTAAGAAACGAAAAATTAAGTTGAAAACTAGAAAACTGCAAATCGAAACAAAAAATTCAAAAAATCGAAAAGTTGAAGAATTTAAAAATTAAAGACACGAAAAGTAACTAAATCAAAAAATTCAAAGGTTGAAAAAACAAGAAATCTGGAATTTAATTGCGAATTCAAAAAGTTGAAGCAAGGAGAAACTGAGAGATCGATAAATTGAAAAATCTAAAATTTGAAGAAACTCAAAATAAAAAATCAAAAAAAAGCAACAGAAAAATCAAAAAGTTGGAAAATTTAAACCTGAAAATTCGAAAAATTGAAGAAACAAGAACCAAAAAGTTTAAAAAATTGAAAAATCAAAAAAATGTTCAAAGGGGGAATCATTAAATCGAAAACTATAAAAATGTAAATCAAAAAATTGAAGAAAGCGGAATCTGAAAACTAGAAAAATTAAGAATCTAAACTGAAAATCTGAAAAATCGAAGAACTGAAGAAATACAAATTCAAAAGTTGAAAATTATAAACATTTGAAATCGAAAACTAAAAAAATTGCAAATCCAAAAGTTGAAAAAAGCAAAAAGTGAGAGATCCATAAATTGAAACTAAAATTTGAAGAAACTCAAATTAAAAAAATCAAAAATGCAAAGGTTGAAAAATCAAAAAATTTGAAAATGAATTTTTGAAAAATAGCAAAAATCGAAAAAGATCATCGAAAAATTAAAAAAAATTAGAAGGTTGAAAAACTAGAAACAATGAAAATCAAAAAATTGATGAAAACAGAAAGTGAGCGGTCGAAAAATTGAAAAAATTGAAATTCCAAGAATTGAAAAAAAAAACTCGAAAAAGTCAAAAGTTGAAAGATCTAAAGATTTGATTGAAACTGAAGGAGGAAATTGGAGAAAAGAAACTGAGAGATCGATGAAGTTAAAAATCTAAAATTTGAAAAAACACAAAAGTTGAAGAAACAAAAACCTGAAAATTTTAAAAACTGAAAAATCTGGAAACTGAAGTACGAAAAATCAAACAAATTACAATTGAAAACTAAAAACAAAAAACTCAAAAATAGAATAAATTTGAAGAATTTAAAAATTGAAGAAACGAAAAGTAACTAAATAAAAAAATTCAAAGGATGAAAAAACAAAAAATCTGGAATTAAATTGTGGAAAAATTGCAAATCGATAAGTTGAAGAGACGAAAAATAAAAAAACAAAAAATTAAAAAATTAACAAACTGAAAAATTTTAAATTGAAAATCAGAAGAACTGCAATTTAGAATTGAAAACTAGAAAAATCCAAATCAAAAAATTGAAGAAAGTAGAAATCGAGAGTTCGAAAAATTGAAAAATATAAAATTTGTATACACAAAAAATTAAAAATTAAAATTGAAGATCTGAAAACTCGAAAAATTGAAGAAACAAGAACCAGACAGTTTAAAAAATTGAAAAATCAAAAACATGTTTAAAGGCGCGAATAATTAAATTGAAAACTAGAAAACTGCAGATCGAAACAAAAAACTCAAAAAAATTGAAGAAACCAAAAATTAAAAGATCAAAAAATTCAAAAATTGATTGATAAACTAAAAAAATTTAAATTGACGATTAGAACAATTCCAACTGAAGAAACAAAAAACTAGCAGATTGAAAACTTGGAAAATCGAAAAACTGAAGAAACAAAGTTCTTTTTTCAATTTTTTGTGTGTAAGTGGCTGTTACGTAACGGGTTACAATCAAATTCTAAAGTATGATAGATATCACAGTTTTGCTTATCATTCACTGATTAGTAGATACTGACATGCAGTGAGCGCCAATGTTACCGACACTTGATAATTGTCGGATATATCAGTATCTCAACTTATCGGACATTAATTGCATGAGAACCATAATCTGGGCCACCAACAACATAACAACGAAATGTTATGACTGGAACCACTCGATGATCCCGCCTCCAACTTTTAATTTTTAAATCCAGTCGTACCAGTTTTACCAGTTTTTACCGGTTTTATAGATATGTAAATCAGTGAACTGTTTCTACCCCTCATTCTAAAATTTAAACCACAGCCTGCACACACTCTCCCTGAATCCGCCCCTGCCCCAGGTAGTACGCACCGCTTCCTCCCCTCCCATCGCGCGTGTAAACCCGACTTCAAAGGCACGCAAGGTAGCAGTACCAGCACAGTACCACCAGCCGCCCAAGCATCTCTCTCTCCGTCCCATTGGTCGCGCGCGTCACGTGGCCCGTTTATATTACTCAGCCACCTCTGCCACTTGTTGTCGTACTCGTTTCGCCACGAAAACCGCATTGTTCGCCGCAAATTCGGGTCCCTGAAGATGCCACCGGTGACGACGTTTCGGTGCCCGCCATCGGCGATCGATCGTGTGCGTGTCGGCAGCCGCTAGACGCGATAATGCAACCAAACAGTGCGTACGTGGTGGTATTCGATGCGAGAATTTCACGTTTCCGGATCGCGGCTCCGGGTGATTTTCCGGTAGTTTGTTGAACCGCCGTTCCGATTGTGTGGTACCGTTGGCCGACCGAGTACTCGCTCCAAAATGGAAGATGTTGCCTTCAGCGACTGGCCCGACGGCGCGGCGACCAACTCCTGGTTACCAGCCTACGGCTTCCAGACGCCCAGCGCCCTGCTGGAAAGGGAGGACTTCCTGGGCAACCCAGGTGGGTGAGCGGTGGGCGGCGGGTGGGTTTGGCTGGGACGTTTCGCGATTGATGGCTTGAAGGTGATCGGTTCAAAAGGAAAGGAGATTTGTGATTGTGACGCCATTGCAGGAAGTGTTGGTTCGGAGTGCATTGGTGGTGATGGGTGACTGGGTTGAGGGTCGGGGTACCACCGATGTTATCTCGATCATGAGACATTTAAAAATTTTTTCACTTCTATTATTAGCTTGTGTTTATTTACGATAGTGGAGATAAGGGGTTTGAGAAAACAATAGAGAAACCTTGCGGTTCTACGGGTACGAATAAGGAAGCTAGAAATGAAGGTTAATTGCCCGAAAAGTGGATTTTCTATCTTTTTATATTAAAAAAGAAAGCTCTCTGAAGACGCCAACAGACGCGAAAAGGGAAAATATGTTAACTAAAATTTGCGTTATTTGCTTATTTTCATATTTAAATTGTGTTTCTGTTTTCGTATCATACATATTTATATACACACTATATATTCTATAATACGTTACGCGAAAGATTATATCGCATTTCCGCCAATGAATCAATGATTTGTTTACAAAAAATCAGGACAAGTTTTTTCTGTCAGTTTTTATGTAACACATAATACAAGTACGAAGTGGCTCATTTTAATTACAATTTTTCTGTAATCAGACCAACTTAAGTTAGACAATGGGTTGTAAAACAGCAGGGAAATAATAAATCGTATAAACGAACCACTTTCTATTTTCTTAAAAATAAAATAAGTTAACCCAACTTTTAAACGTCACTTATTCCATTTATATTTCCGTCCTATATTGTTAAATTCGGATGACTATACTTCAAAACTGGCTAACTTTGTCCTGTTGCCTCAGTCAAGTAAAAAACCATCGCAAACAATTACTAGAAAGCCGTATAATTTGAATCGTATAATCGTAATGACTTTAATATAAAGTTTGTAATAACTCAATAATTGTTTCAATAAAAATTTCTAGTAATTTTATTCTGATTAGATTTTCTATTATTTTATTGCTATTGTAGTTTAGTGTTGTGATTTCTAGTCGTAATTAGTTTGAATCGCTTTGAGTTAATTACTAGAGCTATAGTATTTTAAAACAATTTTCATTTTTGTTCACTAGTAGAATTTATTTTGGAAAACGTTGACTTGTTCACTTCACAGTAAAGTAATAAATTTTTATCAAATCAACAGAAGATCAAGTGCAATTTCATGTAGGTAGTTTTTAACGGAAATGTAGAAAGATAAAGAGATAAAAATATAAACAATAAACCCTTAAAATATTTATCTTTATCTGCTGAGACTGTCTTGATGCGTTGTATGTCATAAAAAAAATCGTCAAAATTTTCGAAATTCTGTATACAATTTTTTTTGGATAACTTTTGGAAAATGTTCCTGTCTTTCTAGTTTCTTAATACATGGCTTCAGAATTTTAATGATTTGTTTTAACATTTACTTTTTCCAAATTTATAAAATTTGCCGCTTATTTAAGCGTTATTGCAAAAGTATAGTTTTTTTCATTTTTCTAGGTTATTTAAAATAGCTGCACATTCCGAAGTTGCGGAAACTTTTGTGTAAACTAGCCCATTTTAATGTTTTCTTTTTTGCATACATTTTGAAATGTTTCGATTTTTCAATTTCTTGTTTGTTTAATTTTTCGACTTTTCTATTTTCACGTATTTTAGTTTTCCGTTTTTTCAATTGTTTTCAATTGTTCGATTTTTGAGTTTCCCGATTTTTCAGTCTTCCGTTTCTTCAATGTAGTTTTCCGTTTTTCAATTTTTGATTTTAGAATTTTGGCATTTTTAGATTTTTTGTTTCTTTAGTTTTTTAATTTGCAATTTTTCCATTTTTATTTTAATTAATTTCTGTTTTTTTAATTTTTGACTTTTCAATTTGAAATTTTTAGATTTTTCAATTTATTTCTTTAATTTTTCGATTTGCAATTTTTTTATTTTACAATCTTTCGATTTTTCAATTTTTAGACATTTTCGTCTTTCGTATTTTTCGGTATTTCAAATTTTGACTTTCTATCTCTAGTTTCAATTTTGAATCTTTCAGTTGTTCAATTTTTAATTTTATAATTTGGAAATTTCTAGACTTTTCAATTTTCCGTTTCTTCAATTTTTCGATTTTTCAACTTAAAATTTTTAGATCTTTTGATTTTAAGTCTTTCAATTTTTCCGTGTTAGGTTCCTTTAGTTTTTTGATTTGCAATTTCTCCATTTTTTGTTTCTTCAATTTTGAAAATTTTATAATTTAGAAATTTTTCGATTTTTCAGTTTTTCTATTTTTCAATTTCTAGATTTTTCAACTTTCCGTTTCTGCAATTTTTTGATTTGTACTTTTTCGATTTTTCAACTGGTAATTTTTCGATATTTCAAACTGAAATTTTTATATATTTTGATTTTAAATTTTTCAATTTTTCGATTATTTGTTTCTTTAGTTTTTTGATTTGCCTCTCTTCCATTGTTAGATATTTTCGTTTTTTTCAATTTTTTGATTTTTGTGTTTCTCTATTTTTCCATTCTTCGTTTCTTCAGTCTAATTTTCAATTTTAAATCTTTCAATTTTTTTTCACTTTGCAATTTGCCGATTTCTCGATTTTTTAATTTTTCAGTTCATCGATTTTTCAATTTTTCGATTTGTAACTTTTTATATTTGAAAATTTTAGATTTTTTTATTTTAATTTTCTTCAATTTTTCCATTTTTTGTTTCTTTAATATTTCGATTGGCAATTTTTAGATTTTTAATTTCTCTAATCTAGTGTTCAATTGTAAACCTTCAATATTTAGATTTTTCCTAATTTTCCAATGGACAATTTTTCAGTTTTCAATTTTGCGATTTTCCGTTTCTTCAATTTTTCGATTTTTCATATTCAAATTTTTAGATCTTTTGATTTTAAGTTTTTCAATTTTTCCGTGTTAGGTTCCTTCAGTTTTTTGATTTGCATTTTTTCGAATTTTTAGATATTTTGATTTTATATTTTTCAATTTCTCCATTTTTTGTTTCTTTAATTTAAAAAATTTTATCATTTAGAAATTTTTCGATTTTCAGTTTTTCTATTTTTTAATTTCTAGGGGCCGGTTGCATAAACGCAAATCAAATTTAATCTCTGATTAAGAACAATTGTAACTATGATAATAACAATCGTTACTATGGAGTTAATCAGAGATTAAATTTGATTTGCGTTTATGTAATCGGCCCGAGATTTTTCACCTTTCCATTTCTGCAATTTTTTGATTTGTACTTTTTCGATTTTTCAACTAGTAATTTTTCGATATTTCAAATTGAAATTTTCATATATTTTGATTTTAAATTTTTCAATTTTTGCAGTATTTGTTTCTTTAATATTTTGATTTGCCTCTCTTTGATTGTTACATATTTTCGTTTTTTCAATTTTTTGATTTGTTTCTCTATTTTTCCATTTTACGATTCTTCAGTCTAATTTTCAATTTTAAATCTTTCAATTTTTTTTTTTCACTTTGCAACTTGCAGATTTCTCGATTTCTTAATTTTTCGTTTCTCCAGTTTTTCGATTTGTAACTTTTTTTATATTTGAAAATTTTAAATTATTTTGATTTTAATTTTCTTCAATTTTTCCATTTTTTGTTTCTTTAATCTAGTGTAAACCTTTCTATATTTAGGTTTTTCCTAATTTTACAATTGGCAATTTTTCAGTTCTCAATTTTTCAGTTTTTCGTTTCTTTAATCTTTTAATTTCTCGATTTGCAATTTTATTTTTCGAATTTACAATTTTTAGATTTTTAGATATTTTCGTTTTCCTCGATTTATCGATTTTTGAGTTTCATTCTAAATTTCTGGATTTGTGAATTACTAGAAATTTTAGTTTTTCGTTTTTTCAATTGTTCGATCTTTGAGTTTTTTGATCTACATTTTTTCCGATTTTGAATTTTTTGATATCTTCGTTTTTTCAATATTTCGATTTTTGAGTTTTTTTATTTTTGGATATTTCATATGTTCAATCTGGTTTTCAATTTTTTAATTTTACAAATAGGCAATTTTTCGCGTTTTCAGTTTCTCAATTTTTCCATTTTTAGATCTTTCAATTATGTATGTGTTTCTTCAATTTTTCGATTTTTCAAGTTGAAATTTTTAAATATTTTGATATTATATTTTCCAATTTTTCGATTTTTTGTTTCTTTAGTTTTTTAATTTGCAGTTTTCCCATTTTGCAATTAATTTTTATTTTTTAATTTTTCGATTTGCATTTTTTTTTATTTTACAATTTTTCGATTTTTTAATTTGTAGGTATTTAAGTTTTTTCAGTTTCAAATTTTTCACTATTTCCTTTTTTGTTTCTTCATTTTTCGATTTTTCAATTTTTAGATATTTTCGTCTTTTCAATTTTCAATTTTCAAATTTTGACTTTCTGTTTCTCGATTTTTCGTTTCTTCAATCTAGTGTCAATTTTAAATCTTTCAGTTGTTCAGTTTTTTAAGTTCCTTGTTCGTTTTTTCGATCTCAAATTTTCAGATTTTTTGACTTTAATTTTTCCAATTTTTCCATTTTTTGATGTTTCTATTTTTCGTTTCATCAATTTTTCGATTTTTCAACTTGAAATTTTTGGACATTTTCAATTTATATTTTCCACTGTTTTCCATTTTTTGTTCGGCGTTTTTAATTTTTCGATTTTACAAGGTTTAGATTCCCGTCGGTTTTAAATTTTTCGATTTTTTTCAGTTCCTCGATTTTTCAAAATTTTTCGATTTGCAATTTTTCGATATTTCAATTTGAAATTTTTATATATTTTTTTATTTCAAATGTTTCAAGTTTTCCTTTATTTATTTCTGTATTTTTTTTTATTTATCTTTCTTCGATTTTTAGATATTCTCGCTTTTTCCATTTTTCGTTTCTTCGGTCTAGTTTTTGATTTAAAATTTTTCAATTTTTATTTTTTTTAACTTTCCAATTTGCCGATTGTTTTCATTTTTCAGTTCCTCGTTTTTTTCAATTTTCCGTTTCTTCAGTTTTTCGA